AACATCCCTTAAACTCCTCTGAAGATGTTACCTAGCCTGGTAATGAAACGTTCGGAAAGCAACCCACAAGCTCAGAGAACGAACCTTCACCCTTAAAGTACTATGTTATAGTGCTAGAAAAGATGCAAAATAGAGCAACCAAAATGTTAAGGGACCCGTATCTCTGATGAAGAAAGGCTTTGACAGTTGGGTCTTCATTGTTTTGACATTGATTAAGTGGGGACATGAAAGAGGGATATAAAAGGATGCATAGAGGGTAAAGATAATATACAGTGAAAATTTTCCCTCTCATAATCTTACCCTTAATTCAAATTCAGTAAATAAATCAAGATTCCATTTTGTCAAATACGTTTTCACATTTGGGGTGACTTCTCGGTGTAAATAAATGTGGCCCATATAATTTCCCCTTTTCCCTTTAATTGTTTTCACTCTCAGTACAAACTCTGCTAGGAGTGGGCTTAGACTCTTTGATCTCAGTCTATAAAATGCTAATTGAAGATATATAAATAGTCATGTAACCTGAACTTCCACAGGACATTGTGTGTTTGGTCAGATTTAGGAAACATCTGATGATGCAGCCAGTTGCCTACAAAAGCTGGTACCCAGAGTAAGCCAATTAGCATTTTCAAGTATCATGTTGCTTTTTTGTCCCTTGGGCTCTGCACAAATTAATTTTTCATGCACATATGTACTAAGCAAAGTCAAAAATAATTGTCCTATTAATTCACATCTCCCCCAAAAGCCTGCAACAAGGATCTTGGTACGGATATGGTTTGCCTCATAGAGTAGATTTTAACTCTTTTTAAAAAAAAACTGGTTTTGTTCAAATATGTTAGAATTATCTCTTTTAAAAATGAGGCATTGGAACCTACAGTCAAACCTAGCTGTTATCTTTACCAGCTGTAACTCATTAGCTCATACAGATGGGGGGGGGGAGACAACAAGCTGAAGAGTTCAGCACAGCCAGCCTTTTCATCAACAAAGGAAAGGAAAGCATTCCTGTGTAACAGTCTTCAGCACTTATCTCTGATTTCTGGTACTATTTGTGCTGAACTAAAGCAGCTGTTGCCCCCCAGTTAAGAGAGAACAAACTCAACATGCTGTGAAATTACCACACTGCCATTCACTTTCATTGGGGTTGAATTGCCAGGAGCTAGCAAGGCTGGCCTTTGTATGAATAATTAAGTGAAATTTGGCTTTCTGAGTGGTGTTTTAATAGACAAATTGCAGGCCAATATTTTGATGTATTTCATCCATGGGTTGAACCGTATTTGTTTTTTGCTTTTATGCTTTTCCAAGCTCTGAAAAGACAAGATAGAACTTAACAAGAGTAACTTTTAAAAAAATAAATGTTTAATGCTAAGCCAGTGATGGCGAACCTTTTAGAGACCGAGTGCCCAAACTGTAACCCAAAACCCACTTATGCATCATCGAGTGCCGGGTGGGCGTGGTCCATTGGGTGGGTGTGGCCCATTGGGTGGACGTGGCTGTGGTGGTAACGGCAGACTGGGTGGGACTAAAAAGTTCAATCAATCAATTCCAACTTTGCAAGATCTTTTTTTCCCGTGAGAAGTTCAAATTGATTGACTGAACCTTTTTTTTTTTTGCACATAGCGGTGGAGGCCTAAAGTGAAAAGGTTTTATAAAACCCAGCTGAAGGCCTAGGACTGGGGCGACGGCGCGTATGCCCACAGAGAGGGCTCTGAGTGCCGCCTCTGGCACCCGTGCCATAGGTTCGCCACCACTGTGCTAAGCAATACTCAGTGACCGGCATATAGTGAGTTATTCTAACAGACTTTACAGATAACGATAAGTTTATTTACAGGAGGAAAAATTACTCCACGCTGAGAAACTACATATATTCGTTCTTCAATGACTGAGATATCATTTGTGGTGGAATTTTTTAAGTTTTCAGAAACTATTACGTTGTACTATACATTCTGTACAACAATTTAAATTAATGAAGAAATAGTTCTGATAGTTTCAGGGAGGCTGTTGCTCAGTTTTTAGAATAAAATAATCAAATGTTTATGTACCACAGTAGAGTTCGCAGTCCTACAGGTAGTCCTCAACTTATGACCACAATTGAGCCCCAAAATTCCACTGTTAAGCAAGACTGTTGTTAAATGAGTTTTGCCTCATTTTATGATCTTTCTTGCCACAGTTGCTAAGTGAATCACTGCAGTTGTTAGCTAGTCACACGGTTCTTAAGTGAATCTGGCTTCCCCACTGACTTTGCTTGTCAGAAGGTCACAAAAGGTGATCACATGACCCCGGGACACTGCAACAGTCATAAGTATGAAAAATGGTCATAAGTCATTTTTTCACTGCCATTGTAACTTCACCTGGTCACTAAATGAATGGATGTAAGTGAGGACTACCTATATTTTTGAAGTCATCCTGAGTACAATTTGGACATGAAGACTTTTAGTTAGGGCAGTGGTAGGCAACCTTGGCTCTTTTATGACTCCTGGACTTCAACTCCCAGAATTCCTGAGCCGTCATGGCTCAGCATGGAAACCTCTCCCTTTCTCCTCAGCATGGCTGGCTCAGGAATTCTGGGAGTTGAAGTCCACGAGTCATAAAAGAGCCAAGGTTGCCTACCCCTGAGTTAGGGAATCTATATGTAAAGCAGTATGCTTGCTGATAAAAGCTTAACCTTATCCTTGTTTTGGAAATGATATTTTTGAAGTACTATTAATTTTTTTCCTTCTTTTTCCTGTTAGAACATGCATTATGCATTAGGTCTGGGTTCAATCCAGGGAGGGATTCAGTTAAGGGAGGGTTAAGAAAAACTTCTGTTTGAAAGTTGGAACAGCTAATTGCTGGCAGCATAAATGGTACTGAAACCTGATATCCTTTGTCATTTCATGAAGGACTTTCACTCTACCTGGGTTTGGCAAAGAGGATAAATCTACATTATGCAAAGAAAATCCCCCTTGTGATTTAAAGAAATGGATCTTGAATATGAATTTTATCTTTTTTTACAACACAGATTTTTTTTAAAAAAATATAATATTCTGGATGAATGAAGAATGCGGCATAGCATGTTGCTGTATAGTCTAGATGTAATGCTAAGCTTAACAATTGATAAGCTTAATTTTATATAGGGTCTTTCATACGCTATTATCTGTCGTTTTATTGTATAGATTTTTCTGTTAGGGTTTTTTGTGCTCCGCTAATTTATGTATATAATTGGGTTTTTCTTCTTCTTCACTGTATAATCATTATTTAATACAGACCTGTATTTTTATGTTTTTTAATTATTTGTTTATTTTAAAACAAACAATATTTTTAAAAGTATTGAGACCTGGTAGACCAACAAATTTAGCTTTAGTATGAGGTAGTTTCTTATGTTCTAGTAAAGATAGTCTGTTTCAATGTTCCATGGCTATTTTATATGGGTCTTGGATAACCAGAGAGATATGTCTATGTCAGTGATGGCGAACCTTTTAGAGACGAGTGCCCAAACTGCAACCCCAAACCCATTTCTGCATCGTCGGGTGCCAGGTGGGTGCGGCCATTGGGTGGGCATGGCCCATTGGGTGGGTGTGGCCCATTGGATGGGCGTGGCTGCAGTGGTAACGGCAAACTGGGTGGGACTAAAAAGTTCAATCAATCAATTCCAACTTTGCAAGATCTTTTTTTTTTCCGCAAGAAGTTGAAATTGATTGATTGATTGAACCTTTTTTTTTTTGCATATGGCAGCAGAGGCCTAAAGCGAAAAGGTTTTATAAAATCCAGCTGAAGGCCTAGGACTGGGGCGATGGCGCGCGTGCCCACAGAGAGGGCTCTGAGTGCCGCCTCTGGCACCCGTGCCATAGATTCTCCACCACTGGTCTATGTCATCAGATTAAGCAGCAACATCTGTTATCATTTTCCAATGTTGACATTCTTAGATAGTAAAATTCAACAATTTTTACAGCAGAGGAGGCTGAGTATCAGGAAATACCATGATACATGAGATGTTCAATCAGAATAGAGCTGGAAGGGACTTTGGAGGTCTTCTAGTCCCAACACCCTGCTCAAGCAGGAGACCCTATACTATTTCAGGTCAAGTGACCATCCAGTCTCTTCTGTGATGAAGTACCCACAACTTCCCATGGCAAGCTGTTCCGCTAGTTAATTCCTCACTATTAGGAAGTTTTTCCTTAATTCCAGGTTTCTTCTCTCCTTGATTAGTTTCCATCCATTGTCTCTTGTCCTGCCTTCTGGTGCTTTGGAAAATAAGATGACCCCCTTCATCTTTGTGGCAGCCTCTCAAATGCTGGAATACTGCTCTCACGTCCCCCCTAGTCCTTCTTTTCTTTAGACTAGCCAGACCCAAATCCTGCAGCCGTTCTTCATATGTGTCTTCCTATCCTGTTCCCCAGTAATCCAAAGCTATGTACAGATAGTCCAACTTACAACAAGTCGCTTAGTGACTACTACCACACAACTCCCCAGGGCTACCTATGATCCATATTCGCAATTCTGTCCTCCCACAGTCAGGTGATCACACTTTGGGCACTTGGAAACCAGCCTGTATTTACCGCTGTTCGCAACATCCCAGAGGTCACATGACTGCAATCTACAACATGTTTTTTTTTGCCAGAAACTGGTGTTTACCTCCTGTTTCCAGCAAAAAATATTCATTGAGGAAAATGGATTCACTGGGGAAGCATCCCAGGACCAATACAGTATGTATCAGATACTGCCATTTATTAATGGGAGAAAAAAGAACATTGGACATGGAGGCAAAGTGTTTTATTAACACATGATTGAAGGATCTGAGTATACAGAAATTATGTAGCTAAATAACATGTAGGTTAGTGACATATCCGAAGCGCAATTGGAATTCTTTTAATGGAAGCAATAAAAAGCAGTGAGACTCAATTCAGGAGTTTTGTCTGCCTCTTAATGTATGGATTTATTTAGGAAATGCTTTCATCTGTCTTTTCTCTTTGTAAGGACGTAAGTTGCTTAAAGTAAAATTTATATTTATTCTTATTTTCCTATAGGTCAGTAACAGATCCACGAGATGGAAAGAGGGTTGCACTCAAAAAGATGCCCAACGTCTTCCAAAATCTGGTCTCTTGCAAAAGGGTCTTCCGTGAATTGAAGATGTTGTGTTTTTTTAAGCATGACAATGTGAGTGGTTCATATATTTTCATTATATTTTTGGGGCATTCTAACCAGAGGTTACTCTAAAATGTTACGAATATTCGTAGGCATTAGAAAGACGGACAATTTCTGAATAAATTAACACCTGTTATCAGTGAAAACAAAACTTTTTTTAGAACTATGGAGACATCTAAAATCTAAATCTAAAACCAGTTGAATCAGCTTTGTATGTTGCAATAACACCCGTTCCCTTAAGATAAACAGCCAATTCCCCAAGGAAATGTATAAAAATGACACATTATATCTGAGCTGATTCCTTTTCTTTCTAGGACAGTAAAGAATCAATTGTGTGTTTGCATGTTGCCCTAAGGCTAAGCCATAGCTTATTCTTTGGGCGTGAAAGGAATGAACTGCAGTGAACCTCATGTGCTCATCTTCCCTTCCTCTTCCCAAGCATCCCAAAGAATTTTGAAAGCTTTCATTTCTGCTTCAAATTAACCACAGTTTGTCATGTGTCTGGATAGACTAAAAATATTAAGTGAAGTTAGTTTCAAACAAGCTTCAAGCTGAGACTATAGCTTGATTATAGATGTATGTGTGATTGAGTTTAATTTAATTCCTCTTTAAGAAAGGGTGGTCCTGTTAGCTCTTAAGAAGGTGGCGATGTGCCCCCTCCTCAAGGGGCCATCACTCAACTCCGCTAATCTCAGCAGGTTTCATCCAAGTTTCCAACCTTCCCTTTTTAGGGAAGGTTTGTAGAGAAAATGGTCACATGGCAGCTTCAAAGGGCCTTGGATAAACTGAATTAACTGGACCTTTTCAGTCTGGGTTCCGGCCAAGATTTGGGACTGAAACAGCATTGTTCACATTCTTGGGTGATCTCTGTTGGGAACGGGATGGGGGTAGTGCATCCATCCTTGCTCTTTTTGACCTCTCAGCAGCCCTCAATACCATTGATTCTTCAGGACCAGCTTCAGGAGTTGGGGATAGGAGGCACAATATTATGCTGGTTCTCTTCCTTCCTTCTGGCATCAGTTCCAGTCAGTGCTGACAAAGAAGACAGAGATCCAGCCCACGGCCCCTAGTTTGTGGGCTACTAGAGGTTCCAACTCAGCTCTCTCTTCCTTTTAATTTAACATCTACATATGGCCACTGAGTAAGGTGATCTGACAGTTTGGGATGAGGCATCATTAATATGCCGATGAAAAACCCAGCTTTACATTTCCACCCTGGGTTGCCTGAATGATACTGTGGATATCCTTGTGACCAGCCCTGGGGACCAGGGGTCTGAATAGGGCACAATGAGCTTAGGCTCAACCCAAGCAAGACTGATGACTTTGGGTGCTTGGGCCTTCCAATACTAAGATTTTTCTGCTTCTGTTCCTGGATGGGGGAAGCACTGTCTCAGATGGATCTGATGCAAAATCCGGGTGTCCTCTTGGATTCAGGTCTCCTGCTGGAAAAGCAGGTGGTAACCATGGCTAAGAGGCCCTTTGCACACCTTCAGTTTGTGTGCCAGTTGCACCCATTTCTGAACCGAGAGGTTCTTCTCACTGTCGTCACTCATGCCTTCATGACCTCCCTCTTGGACTACTGCTACATGGTCTACATGGGGCTGGTCTTGAGGAACATTCAGAAGCTTCAGCTGTATGGATTATAAATGGTGTTAGCTATTCATCACATGTGATACCACTGCTTGGGGGCTACATTGGTTGCCAGTCTGTTTTCGGGTGCAATGCAAGCTGCTGAAGCTTTAAAGCACTTCATGGCTTGGGACTGGATTACTTGAAAGACCATCTTCTCCAAGCTCTTTCTACATATCCAGCCTGGTCCAGCAGGATGGGCATGTTGTAGATCCCATCAGTCAAAGAATTTTGGCTGGTGGGCACCTGGAGGTGTGCCTTCTCTGCCATAACCCCACCTTCTGGGACATTCTCCCTCCAGAGATTAAGATGGACCCAATTCTGCTAATCTTTTGGAAGGCACTGAAGACCTGGCTGTGTGCTTGGGTCTAGGGTCCTGATTATGTGAAGGGCTCCATTTCCTGGTTATATTGATACTGTTGGATTATAATATCGCTTGGCAGCCATTCGTATTTAATTTCTTTTTTGTATCATGTTTTAACTGTTTTTATGATTGTTCACCACCCAAAGTCACTGGTTTGAGATGAGCAGCTATACAAATTGATTAAATAAATACACATAAATACTGAATTTGTTTTTGCTTAAACTAATTATAGTTAAGATACAATTCTGGATCAAGAGGCTTTGGCAGAATCAATTAATCAAACAAGACATCAGCCTTTATCTCCTAATACACCTCATGGCAGGTAGAGCAATAATGTGGCTATTCATAATGCCAGATTGTAATTTAGTTTAATGACAAAACACAAATAGTGTTAAGGGAGGGTAAACAATGTAACTAAGAAAAGCTAAAAAAAAAGAAGGGGGCTGATGTGATGTAATGCAGACATCCTTCAGGCATCTAAATCAGAGTAGATTAAGAATCAAGCAGATTTCATCCCAAAGATGAAATTCAAGTTGTTCATTCCAGAATTCCCCCAGCATAAAATTGTGATAGCTTATAACCTAATCCCTTCCCCTTTTTTCCCTTTTTGGCAAAACATTTGCCAAATCTAAAAGTATGATCCTGTGCAAGTATTTAATTTGAAAGCTAGGATTAAGTCTTTTTGAGGTGAACAGTAAAGAGTTGATATACCTCCAGTACAGCTTTTCAAATTGTGAGAACTGAGACAGGAAGGCTAGTTCAGGTCTGACTTAAGCTATAAACTCAAAAGAGGTCTAAAGGAAGCTTTATCCTGCAGCTTTAGCATTACAGATAACTAATTCTATTAATTAATTCCATTAATTTTATAAGAACTAAGAATGTATGTGAACTTTTAAGTCTTATTAATGGCAATATTTTCTGCAACAAATCCAAGAAAGAAATAATTCCAAATACAATGCGTTGTACTTTCTTTGTTTCTTTAAAGCTGATTCAGATTGTTCCTCACTGAAATTTGGAGCAGAATTAAGACAATCATGCCATGTGTATTATTAAAAAAACTGGCATAACTCATTTTCTTCATTGCTGTTAATTTATAGTCATATTTGGACTCCAGAAACCTGATGTACTGGTATGTTAATGGCTCTGGAGAATGTATAAACAACTGATGAAAACAACTTTGAATACTAACTATGCAAACATTGTCATGAAGAATGAAAAAGATAGCTTAAATGTGTATTTGTATTCACAACCTCCCATCTCTGTCTCTGATTAGCGATGGTTTGAAATGATCAGATTCTAAACATTGCAGATGCATGTCAGTTTTGACGTTTGCCTGAGGATCATTCTTTGAAGTTGGTCTCAGAGTAAAACCATAAAAAGAAAACAGGATGCTAGAGGTTATCTGGCCTTAACATTTAACAGAGTTACATTTTTTTTATTATAGTTCTAAAGTTATTACTATAAGCTTTGGCTTACTAAGGTTTCAAAATCAGTGTAATTGTATATTAAATGAACTCTGTTAGCAGCACAAAAGTTTTTCTTTTTTTTAAAAAAAAATGAGGGCTATATATGGATTACATTTCTTTTCTCTTTTATGTAGAACTTGTGTGCATAAAAATCCAGTTCTTTCTCTGTGTGACAACAGGACAATATAGATTAAATGCTAATGTAGCTACTACTCAGGCTTCCTAAAGAACATTTGACAATTCCGGAATCATGTTGTTTCCTCCTTTAACCAGCACTGTTGTCACAGTATCATTTGTGATTTCTGCATCAATTTATCAGAACTGATAGAGAGGCAGGCAACGTTCTAGATTACTCAAATCCTGTTCTTGAAAAATCAACACACAAGTACAATTTATAAGTTATAAATTGGAGTGATGTAACTGCACTTACAGTGTTGCGGTGTAACCTTCTTCTGTGTCACTCACTTTAGCATGGAACTCATTGGATGATTGTTCTCAATCCAACCTATCTCATAAGAGTATCGTAAAAGTTAATGTGACATGACCCATGTATGTTACCCTAAACATATTAGAACATAGAACATAGAATAACAGAGTTGGAAGGGATCTTAGAGGTCATCTAGTCCAACCCCCTGCTCAAAAAGCTGTCCAGTCTCTTCTTGAAAGCCTCCAGTGATGGGGCACCTACAACTTTTGTAGGAAAACCATTCCACTGGTTGATTTGTTCTCACTCTTAGGAAATTTCTCGTTAGTGCCAGGTTGCTTCTCTCCTTGATTACTTTCCATCCATTGATTCTTGTCTTGCCTTCAGTGCTTTGGAGAATAGCTTGCCTCCATCATCTTTGTGGCAGCTTTTCAACTATTGGAACACTGTTATCATATCATCCCTAGTCCTCCTTTTTCCTAAACTGGGCATATCCAATTCCTGCAACCATTCTCCATATGTTTAAGGAACATATTAATTATATCAATATTATATTCCTTTAATATTAATTAATAATTAATATTAAACAATTTAATATTAAATACGTAATGAAGTAAACAATATTTAACATAAGTACTATTAAATAATGAATAATTAATTAATATTAATTATATTGATATTATATTCCTTTAACATATTAAAGGAAAGAGAATATAAAAGTCATAAATAACAACCCTAGTAAGAAGAGGGCGGATGCTCCAGTGAATAACATGGTGAATTGAAGAAGGCATTTGTTCCAGTCTTGGTTTATTTCCTGTACAAGTTTACAGAACTTGGCTTTTGTGGTTTTAACTTGGCAGTGAATATATTTTTCTATTTTGTTAAATAAATGTTTTACACTACAGTAGTTTCAAAGATGCTGGTTTCTTAAAAGAAACAAATATAGTTCCTTCTGGTCAAGTTCTATTCAGCACTCAATTATCTTTCAATCTCTGTACTTGTCTGTTGATTTTTCAAGAATAGGATTTGAGAAATCTGGAATGTTGCCTGCCTCTCTATCAGTTCTGATAAGTTCAAGCAGAAAATTTAAAAAACAAGCAGACTGAGAAACATGATAGGATCATGATGCTTGTATCATGTGCATTTTTGGCAAATAAAAAAATTACTATGTTCTTCTAAACTAGGAAGATTAAGGGTTTTTATAAGAAAGGCTAAGATAATTCAATAATATTTTATATAGCTGTTTTGTGGTAAAAATCACAAAGTATCCTAATATCATTTTAAGAAACCAACTATGATATATTCTAAATAAGGAAAAAACTTTCTTTGTAAAATATAACTAAAATATAGTTAGTGATTTTACTCAATTGGATTTTGACAAGGTTACTGAATATATAAATGCAATACTTACAGTTCTGGGTTGGCCCATTTTAGAATAAGAACAGATATTGGGAAAGTACTTATAAGTTTCATTTGTGAATGGTTGTCAAGTGGCTAACCTTAAATAGCAAGAGCAGGAACACATAAAATTATATACTGCCCTATAGTGCTTTACAGAATTCTCTGGGCAGTTTATAGAGTCAGCATCTTGCCCCCAACAATCTGGGTCCTCATTTTACCAACCTTGGAAGGATGGAGGATGAGTCAACCTTGAGCTGGTCACAATCGAACTCCAGGCTGTGGACAGAGTTAGCCTGCAATACTGTATTGTAATCACTGTGTCACCATGGAATAAGTAGTTCTATCCAACATGCCACTCCCGAAATAAAATATTAATAAAATATTAATACAGGTGGCCCTATTGTAATTGAACCTAGCAATTGTCCCAAAGGTGCTTTTTCAGGAGGCAACTGGACTTTCTTGTTTTTCTTTGAAGACGTTTCACTTCTCATCCAAGAAGCTTCTTCAGCTGTGACTGGATGGTGGGGAATGGAAGGATTTATGTTCCTTGCAGACAGCTGGACATTTGCACTCTTTTAGAGAGTCGTTCAGGCCATTTGGAGGTTTACTTGTGTCCTCAGGGTCACCTGAGTAGTGCAAATGTGTGTGGAGCCTTCTTGGCTGCAGGATGTTTTTTACCCCGTGTGCCTTCATTGTTGAAGACAGACGCATGCTGTTGGGGATGAGTCTGTGTTGTCTGCATCTCAAACCGAAGCGCAAACTGTTCCTGTAGTCTGCAGTGTTTTCTGGAAATCCATTCATACTCCTGCACCATTTGAAGGGTATTCATCCCAAAGTGCATACAGTGAGGGGAAAAAATATTTGATCCCCTGCTGATTTTGTACGTTTGCCCAGTGACAAAGAAATGATCAGGCTATAATTTTAATGGTAGGTTTATTTAAACAGTGAGAGACAGAACAACAGCAACAAAATGCATTTCAAAAAAGTTACAAATTGATTTGCATTTTAATGAGTGAAATAAGTATTTGACCCCTTCGCAAAACATGACTTAGTACTTGGTGGCAAAACCCTTGTTGGCAATCACAGAAGTCAGACATTTCTTGTAGTTGGCCACCAGGTTTGCACACATCTCAGGAGGGATTTTGTCCCACTCCTCTTTGTAGAGCCTCTCCAAGTCATTAAGGTTTCAAGGCTGACATTTGGCAGCTCGAACCTTCAGCTCCCTCCACAGATTTTCCATGGGATTAAGGTCTGGAGACTGGCTAGGCCAATCCAGGACCTTAATGTGCTTCTTCTTCAACCACTCCTTTGTTGCCTTGCCGTGTGTTTTTGGTCATTGTCATGCCTGAATACCCATCCACGACCCATTTTCAATGCCCTGGCTGAGGGAAGGAGGTTCTCATCCAAGATTTGACAGTAGATGGCCCTGTCCATCGTCCCTTTGATGCGGTGAAGTTGTCCTATCCCCTTTGCCTCCTGAAAAATCACCTTTGGGACAACCATGACCTGGATGACTGAGAATGTCCATGAACCTGGCAATTACTGTTGTAAGTCGTGGCAGTCATAAAAGAGGTCACTACATGACTGGCCCCAATTTTACCACCAATATATGTATGTATGTATGAAAGGGGGGAAAACACCCAGAATTCATTATTCCTATTTTACTGAATTGTTATGCTTTCTCTCATTTTCTCTCCTTTCTTTGGGAATTTCATCCAGACCTCATGCCAGGGGATATTTCATTTCTTTTTAAAACTAATCAGTCATGTGGTGGTCATCACTTTCATGATAACAGTCACCTAACACAATCACTGCAAGTATGAAATCTATGCTGTTTTCTGGCACTATCAATAAGAAAGCCTACCATAAATAGACATAGTTTGTAGAGGTAGCAACACTGTCAAAACCAACTATAAACTCCAGCTGGTGGAAAACCAGGTAGTTACAGGTGAAGCAACCCAATAAAACAGATTATACAAATTGAAATATAAAAGCTGCAGTGATTAAAGAACTAAGACACAATGTCTTGAGAAATTAAACATATGTACTGCAGACACTGGAATCAAAACACATTTCTGCCAAATCAAAAAAAGTTTTTCTTTGTTGCATATGCTTTCCTTGTAAGGATTTCCTCCACTTTGCAGAGAGAGGTTAAGCCAGAACAACTGTTCTTATTATTTATTACTTTGTAATAAGGGGGATATTTTAATGTACATTTTGGAAGGAATGCTGAAAAGGCAATCTGGTAGTCTACATATGTTTCAGACTACTGTTTCCTTAACTGTTCTTCCAGCTTGTAACTCAACAGAAAACTCCTTCTGTGAATTCCCTAGCAAAAAATGATTACAGTAGGTTACAATCAGTCAGTCTGAATCTCCTGATTAGGAAACTTCTTATTCCTTCTACCAAGCCCAGCCATAAGAAAGAAAAAGATTTTGGATCTTTCTGCCCCAAATCTAGAAATAGTTAATTTAAAAAAAAGGTGTGCCAATTGCCAAAACACAACATCTTTTTAAAGTAATGATGTCATTACTTGAAATTCAGCAAGTTATTATTAGGGAACAGGAATGCCTGAAAAACAAGGGTAAGCACCAGTTGTGAATTCAGAATTCCAAATATAATCAAGAATTCCAAATACAATCAGTTCAAAAGCCCATCTGAATTAGTTACTTATTATTTACTTGAATACAGGATTTCACCAATATTCAGAGATTATTGTGAGAGAGACAATTGGAATGACATCATAGTTAGGCCCTCTTTGTGAGCACTATCCTCCGTTTACTGAATAAGGAGGACAATTGAAAGCTCGCTGTTCCAGATGTGGAATCAAGCAAAATGTTCCATCTCTCATATACTGTACATAGTCTAACCAGCAATCAGAGATTTCTTTAGCAGCTGAGTCTATCTTATCATGATTGCCTAATGACAAATTTTAATTAATTTTCACTAGTGCTATAATATAAAAAGAATGTGAAGCAGTTGAAATTCAAAAAATTCAGAAATGAATTCCGCCTGTTCAGGTTTTTCAGTACGGAGTGGATGTATCTAATGTTTTATGTGGCACTCTCGTATCATACCAGAAATTAAAAAAAATGTCCCAGTATACTATTGTCCATGCTACCATGTAGGGATGCAAAATATCGGATTGCCTACTCATTGATCAGACTGTCAGTTCTGGAGCTTATTTTGTTGACTCATAAGATATAAATATTAATGCCAGCTGTGTTTCCTAGCGTGTCTCTGAGACCAATTCAAAAGGGTGGTTCTAATTTTTAAAGCTTTAAATCATTTTATTTCAGATTACTTTAAGGACCATTATTACTTGTAACCTATACTTTTTCAACACAGAAATGTTTAATTTGTTGTCACGGGTAGTTAAATGAATAAATAAATTAGGGCAGCCAATAAATTTTATGAATGATTGAATGAATGAATGAATGAATGAACGAACAAACAAACAAACAAACAAACAAACAAACAAACAAACAAACAAATAAATGTGGAGTTTCTCCAGCACTGGAGATGGAGGATCCACCCATGGGTAGTAGACTGTATTCCTGCCCAATCAGATTAAGTCAGCCAAATAAATGTGGAGTTTTACCTGAATTGTTCTGAGGGTTTATTTGAAAGTTAACTAATATGTTTTTACTTTGCTTCAGCAGTCTTTGATCTTGTGCATTCAACTGAGCATTTCATTTGAAAAAGTTTTAATTATTTATTATATTAGATAATATATTTGATAATACATGATAACACATTTAATATCTTATAATAAATAATGTATTAGATGGTATAATAAATAACTAAATAAATGTAGCCGGTTGTATGATGATGATTATTTTTTTGGAATCTAAACACTGACCTTATTAAATCCTTGAATCTGCTATGATAAAAAATCAGCGTTGCTCTTTCCATTGGTGAGTTTCTGTCTCAGGTTTCCAAAGTTTATATCACCCTTCCCACCATCAAAGATATAGTTGAAAACTGAAGATATTTATCCTTCGTTCCTTCTTTTCCTTCTGTAAAATGAGGCTTTGGTAATAAATCAGCTTCCATCTTATTTCCTAGGTACTCTCCGCTCTCGACATACTCCAGCCACCACACATCGACTACTTTGAAGAAATGTATCCTAAATGTTAAATAAATAATGTCACTGAGGTAGGTGTAATTAATTCTAGTTTGTAAAATTACCTGCAGATTTTGGACTTTTCGTCTTGATCCTTAGCATCTGGAAAGGTGATAATGGAGGCCAGCTGTTATAGACCATCTAGAAAAACATTGTTATAAGAATCGGCTGCTGAAAGAAGGAATTAGAGGGCATGTATAGAAATTTGTGATTATTATTACAAGAATTGAATATGTCAACCAGCTTTGAGATTTTCTCCCAGATTTATCTTTCAATCGTGGTGAAAGGTATTTGGAAAATGACTGCAAATTAATGCCTTCCAATGTGCAAATGCTCATGTAGTAATTTGGTGTATACGCATAGATGGTGGAGAGGATTGTTACAGGCATGTCTTGAAATGTACATTCAGGTTATTTGTAAGTTTCTTTCAATGCCAGAATATAGTATTTATTTTTTATTAAATAACACAGAGTATGAAGCTGCTACAGCCCTAACTCTGGACTTTTGTCCAATGGAAATTTTGAAGGACCCTTAAAAAAATCCTGTAAAATATATGAAAAAACTGGAATGTTTTTAAGATTAGGATTCAATTTTCATTTATATAATACTAAATTCTGAAATATATTCCCAGGTATTCTTATGTATTCCCATCCTCATTGCAGAAAGATCCCGTGCCCTTGCTTCCTTGTAAATTGCTGCTCTCTTGCTTAGGATAACCTTTGATCTAGATTAGAGATCTGAGAAACAAACATTCTGCACCTGCCCTTTGCTTATATAAAACAAAAACAGCTGTCCTATAGTTTAAATCTCATTGCTCTCAGATAAATACAGGTAAAATTCTGCAGGAAGGCAGGGACAATTATGAGGGCTGTGAGGATTGTCCCTCAAAAGTCATAAATATGTCAGAGCAGTTTGAATGTCCTTTTAGTTCAGTGCTGCATTTTATGTTAAAGCATAAGAAATGTATTGTATATATTTCTATATATAACAATTTTATACAGGTAGTCCTCGATTTACAACAGTTCGTTTAGTGAACTGTTACAAAAGTTACAAAAAAGTGACTTATGACCATGTTTCACACTTACATTTGTTGCAACATCCCTATCGTCACATGATCAAAATTCGCACGCTTGGCAACTGGCTCACATTTATGACAGTTGCAGTGTCCTGGAGTCATGTGGTCACCTTTTGCGACCTTCTGACAAGCAAAGTCAGTAGGGAAGAGTGGTTCAATTAACCATGTTACTAATTTATCAACTGCAGTGATTCACTTAAGAATTGTGGCAAGAAAGATTGTAAAATGGGGCAAAGTTCACTTAACTGTCTCACTTAGCAACAAAAATTTTGGGATCAATTGTAGTTGTAAGTCGAGGACTATCTATAACATTGTTCATATTGTATAAACAATATGAAATTACTTCCTCATACCCATAGCTTCTACATTTCCAGAAATGTTATTTCTCTCCTCTCAATGTACAACTTTGATCTAGAAATGTGGGTACACAGATTAGCTTTAGGGATTTCACTAGTAACTCGTTTCAGTTCTTCAGAATGCTTCTGCTTTAGATTATGGCCAGGATTATATCAATTCAGTTGGGTTCTAAACTTTCAAGAAAGGGTTTGCCCTTTTGTGGCTTTTCCCAATTTATACTCCTTTCCACTTTTGAGTTGAGAGGATTGCGGAAAAATAGAGGCTCCATTGCCAGAATAATGTCAAAATATTGATCTGATTTATTTTTCATAAATATTCTCACCAGCATGGTGTAATAACTGAGTTACTGGACCTGGACCAAGGAGACCCATGTCCATCCTCAATCATGGAAGCCCCCTGAGAGACTTTGGAAAACCCATTCTGTTTTAGCATCTTGTATCTCAAGGATGTTAGAAAAAATGGAGGATAAAATATTAGGTAAACTGTATTGTGCTTTTGGAAAAAAATATGTAAATCAACCAGACAAATGAAATAATAGCAATAGCAATAGCACTTAGACTTATATACCCTACTTCATAGTACTTTACAGTCCTCTCTAAGTGGTTTACAGAGTCAGCATATTGCCCCGAATAATCTGGGTCCTCATTTTACCGACCTTGGAAGAATGGGAAGGCTGAGTCAATCTTGAGCTGGTTAGGATCAAACTCCTGGCAATGGGCAGAGTCAGCCTGCAAATCTGCATTCCAACCACTGCGCCACCACGGCTCATAATAAATATTAATTCTTTTTAAACTGGCCACAAGTAATTCGCAATCAGCAATACTTTGCTAAATCGCAACTATTTGATTCTTAAGTTTTAAAACTGAAGTTTTAAAGAGCTGTTGGCATAATATAAATATTATATAACATAAAAGATTTATGGATAACTAGTGTTGAAAACTCTGCACTTTGATTCAGTCTTCACTTCCTCTAGTTAAAGTGTATCTAAGAACATAGACATATAGCAGGCATGCAATTAATGAATTATCAGGTGTTATCATTATACTTAAATAACCTTTTCTTTGTTCGTGTTCATTCAAAAAGTTTTAATGCAGAAATGAGTAATACTAATTCTTTAGCTTTTCTTCTTTTTTAAAAACCCTAGCATCTCAGTAAATCTGAACTTGCTATTATTTCTTTTTATGCATTTCAGATCTAGGGGTACACCACCCAGCCAAGGACACTGATTTAAATAAGATTTGTTTGTTCCTCTTAGGAAGTTTATCAGCTTAAAAATCTAAATGACAGCAGCCATCTTATATTCATCCAGTTAATCTTTTACTATATTTAGAACTAATTTAAAATAGATACTGCTAAAAAAATGTTTGGAAAATCTTTATGTCTTATTTCAGAAAAAAACTAGGAGTAGACAAAAGAATTTTTAATGTGTGCTCCTTTCTTTTTTTCAGAAACACTTTGCTAAGATTCATTTTATAGCAAAACAAAAGTTTTTAGAAAAATTTGAACACTAAGAACACTCAGTGACAAAATGCCTCATAGCTAGATTGAAAAAGTGTGTTTGGAGACCTTTATACTGTAATGGCTAAATACATTGCTATTTGTGCTCTCTGTCTTTCTAGATTCTGGAGGGAAATTTAAAAAAACAGATGAGAAAAAGAAAGAGATATATTCTCATTTTAATCTGAACTTTATTTACTTTTAAAGCAGTATGAACTCTGCAATCTCACTTCTATTTATGTAATACATATCTGCACTGAAAAAGAGGTATGCAAAAATAGACCAGGAAAATAATGCTCAAAAGGAAAATTGCTTTCTAAAAACAAAAGGGACATACATATAGAAATATTTAGAGAAAGGAACAAAAAATACAGTCCAAGGTTTATATGAAGTATAAAAAACAATTAGAAGCGAAGAAATGAAAGGAACCAAAGTTAAGAGTGATTCCCCCCCCCCCCCGATGTACTGAATGTACTGCATGAGCATAGTTTGTTTTAACATGTGAAAGTGTATTTTTTTTGGGGGGGGGGGAAAAGCAACTTCTGTATTTGATAGACATTTGGAGACCTCTTGTTCCTTCTGAAGGAAGTTGTACAAGTGGGTGGTACAATAGCTCTGCAGTTAAAACACTGAGCTTGTCAGCTAGAAAGCTGACAGCCCGGGTTCATGACCTGAGTATTGTGCAGTGCGGTGAACTCCCCTCTTCGCCTAGCTCAGTGATGGCGAACCTTTTAGAGACCGAGTGACCAAACTTCAACCCAAAACCCACTTATGTATTGCCAGGTGGGCGTGGCCCGCTGGGTGGGCGTGGCTACAGTGGTCATGGCAGATGGGTGGGCGTTGCCAGGGTGAGCATGGCCAGCTCGATGTTGCTCCTGGGGAGGGACGCCCGTGGGGGCTCGGCAGGGTTGGGGGAGATCCAGGGGTCTCTGGCAGGTGGGGTGGTGGGCAGGAGGCTGGTTCTGTGGGGTGAGGCGAGGCAGGGTGGGGGTGCCATGTCGCAGGGTAAGGGAAGTCAGGGGCCGGGGTGGCTGCTGCCTGACACCATCAGCCCCCGCACACAAAGGCCAGCAAGTGCATGGGTGCTGGGATGCATCCGGCCACGTGGGACCTCAGCAAGTTAGCAGACAGCTGGTTGAAGAGGACGGTTGCCATCTCTGGGGCATGGCGTGTGTGCCCACAGAGGGGCCCCCGAGCACCGCCTCTGGCACGTGTGCCATAGGTTCACTACCACTGGCCTAGCTCCTGCCCACCTAGCAGTCCAAAAGCATGCAAATGCAAATAGATAAATAGGTCCCACTTCAGTGAAGAGGCAACAGCACTCCACAGCGTCATGCTAGGCACCTGATTGTGCAAATGTGTCTTCAGACAGCCTGGCTCATGGCCTCAAAACGGAGATAAGCACCACCACCCCTTATAGCCAGCAATGACGAGCAGAGTAAAATCCACTTTCCTTTCCTTTTGTTTGTTGCCCTTTCCGTGCTGAAGTATTTACTCCCACGACTAAATATGATGTCCATTTGTATAGTTTAATTAAAATGTAGCAGTCCACAGAGCCTGAAAACCTCTAGTACATACAATTACTGAGCTATTTTGATCTCTATCACTGTAATGTAGCATCCCGTGATCCTATCTTGTCCAAGGAATGGTAGAAATGTCATACTGAAAGAAAAAAACAAAGGCAGAGGCCGGAATTTCCTATTAAAAGGAGTATGCAATGTCTTTTTTGTTGGATCCAGTTGCTTTTTTATGCTGATACCTTTCTCATAATTGTTGATTTGCTTCTCAGGGGCTTTATAAAATTGTGTACAAGCTCCACAAAATGGCTATTCCCACTTAAAATAAATTTCTGCCTAAGGCAAACAAATAAAGCTGATGTTGTCACGGACATTTACCTGTAGAGTATTGTACTGTATAAGTATTTTTTTTTTAATGGAAGGAAAGAGGCAGCCAGATGAAAATAATTTCATAGAGACACTGGCATATTTATGACTTTTTGCTATTCATATCATTGAACTAAACTGACAGACAGAAAAAGTCACTGCCATTGATGTAAAACTATTCACCTC